GTTAAATGAATTGTGGGTTCGTGGATAATTAGTTTTGGGCTGCTCTTATTGTTTAAAAAAAAAAAAAAGGGCCAAAAATAGGCCCCTTAATGGTTTTGAGCCTGAGGCGCGGGCCTCACTGGCCTCGCCCCAGGACCGGGCCTGATAGGATGGTTCAACTTTGTGGGAGAACACAATTATGGCACTCATATCAAGTTACCAGATGCACTCAAACGTAAGGACTATGCTACCATCTAGTACAACTGAACAATTGTCAATATTGAAGTCTTTGATTCTATTTATGGAGTTATATCTTCTGCACGCTTCTTTGGTATAATATGTAAGGATAGCTCTGATGAGCTGGAACACAAATATATGATACACAATGATTTTCTATTTCTAGGAAATCAACTTTGTGTTCCAAATTGTTCATTGAAATAAAATTATTCAAGACATATGTGGTTGAAGGTTGGATGGGCGCTTTGGCGAGATATGACTTGTGCATTTATTGAATAAAATGTATAATTTCGTCAAAAGGTGTTGAATATGCCAAGAATCTAAAGATCAAGTGCATTTCCTCTCATCCCTGCCATCACCGACAACTCCCTGGGAGGTTGTAAGCATGGACTTTGTGGTGGGGCTGCTCAGAAGCCAAAAAGGAATAGGTTAAAGATGGACTATTTTATTTGTTTCAAATGGACAATGGATGCCCCAAATAGTGAAGAATTTCTGATCATCCCCAAATAATTGGGCAAGCTCAAAGCTATGAACAGAAGCTTGGAATATTTTCTAAGCTGCATGGCAGGAGACACTCTTAAGCAATGGAAAGTTATTACTGCACAAGAACAATTTGCACTTGGCCATTCGAAGATTTGAACTTTGGGCATAAGTCCTCTTAAAATTGTTTATACAAGATAACCCGCACATCTCATTGACTTTGCTGCTAATTGGAAAAGACAGTTGAAGGGTGAAAGTGTAGCTGCCAAAATGAAGAATTTGCATTGAAACAGAGATTATGATATGTATTGATTGAAATTGAATTACAGAAAATGGAACAGGAGTACAATCAGCCTTTCGAGAGGGTTGTACTCTCCACAATATGGTTTTCACTCACAATTTTGCATGCCTATTCTCCTTCAACTTTTCCCTATTTATAAACTAGTTATAACTGATTTTCTCTCCCCATTCTACCCTCTTAACAGAGTTTGTTGCAGCCCAGTCTTCACCAATCTTCTTGATCCTTCTAGAATATGTTTATTTAATTGGGGCCTATCAGAATATTTAGGGTGAAATTGAATATTATTTACCGAAGTCCATGAAATACTGAAACCAGAAGAGAGGAACTAAGAGTTCAAAGGTGGCATGAGACGGTTTACCTATTAAGGAAATATTTCTATTGGCTCTTATCTAAATTAAATAAAAGGAAAACCGAGCCTTGTATAGTATAAGGAAAATTGGAGAAAATGCCAATCAAGTTACCTTGTTAAGCATATGTAGATTAACTTAACATTTATTTTATCCTATCTGTACCAAACAATGGAGACAAATTGAAAGAAGAACAAGATGCTGGGCTTGAAGACAAGTTTCTTACAAGGGAAGGGACTGATGCAATAGAAAAACAACATTTTAATAAAGCCCCTGTTTGACAACCATTAAAAAGAGCCTTGGGGAAAATGAGTTTTAGAATAATGATTTTTTGGGGAATGTGTGGTTAAAAAAGTAAGAATTTTTTTGATTTATGTGTACAGTATTTAACTGTAAGAATGTGTGGTTGAAAATAAGTTTGAGAAAAAAGAATTTTGTAAAAATGGTTGTTAAACAGGGCTTATCGTGAACATTGAACTAGCATAATCAAGTGAACTCTTGAGACAATGTAGCTACTGAAGAGCATCAAAGAAAACCTCTTAATGCTTGTTTATTAGATTTTTATTTTAACCACACATCCTGATGAGGGCATCCAGTCTTTTATTTATTTCTATTTGGACTCTTTTTTATAATTAGCCCCCGTTTGGCCGCCATTTTCATTCTTTTTTTCTTCTCTCTTATTTTCAATCACACAATATTCCATAAAATAATATTACACGTAAATAAATTTTTTTTCATTATTTATTAACCACACATTCTTTAAAAACACTATTCCAAACATTAAAATTTGGAAAAAAATGGGGGCCAAACGAGGGTTTATGTTATTGGACTTGTACACTGGGTGTGGCTCAAGCCCACTCTTTTTAGGGTTTTGTTTTGCTATTTAAATCTAGTTTTCGTATAATTGAATAGTTGATGATTATGATGAATTGATATTGGTTTTGGCGTCTCTTTTCTCTTTCTTCCCCCTTTCTCCCGAATTTCTGCTTCTTCGGTTTCCCCCCAATTCTCTCCGGTTTCTTCCCCTTTCTTGCAGCCTCTTCTTTATCCTGCATCAAATTTGGTATCAGAACTAAACTTGGATAATATTTCTTCATCCATTCCACATGCACAACCAATATATCCATCACCTGCTGCTGCTGCAACTCCTTTCTCGCCACTAGTGCTGCAATCGTAATTAGAGAAATAACTAATTCCACCACATGCAAAACCAATCACTTCCGCAACCTATCACCAAACGTCATAGTATCAAACTAACTCCAGTATACCTCATGTCTTCATCCAAGCAATCCACTACCTAAAACTACCACAACATCCACTCACAAAATCATAGCCCATAATAAATAGAACCATACGACCACGCAACCAGTCACCACCACTCACAACAAAAACCGCACATTACTCCAAAATCCCCACAGCTATCGTCACGTACGACTTGTGAATCGCGCCACCGCCATTGTTGAATCTCAACCAGTAAATCTGGCCCAAACCACGCGACCGCCTCTAACAGTCACGGGAACCCAAAAATTGAACCACCCAGCGACCGTCACCTCTAATCATGGCACCCAACGACCCATCGTCCCCGTAGTTGCTGACTCTCATCTACATCGAGCCACAATTTTCCCAGACGAGAATAGGGCTCGACGAATTAGGCTAGCAATTGCCGGGAGTAGTTATTTTTCAAATTGGGCTTTGCCTTAGTATTCAGGGATTTGTATTGTGAGATTCAGTATTTGATTTTCAGTTGGGCTCAGTGTTATTATTTTGGGCCTAGTAAAAGTGTAGGTTAAAAAAAGAGAGAGAGAGAGAGAAAAAAGGAACAGAAAGAATAGAAAGAAAAGTGAAAGAAAGGGAGTAAAGTGAAAAAAATAAAAGAGAGAAAAAAAAGGAAAAAAAAGAAGAAGAAGATGAAGAGAAATTTTCATCATTATTCATAGGTGATCTTTTTATTATGTTGATTGACCACTTTGCCACCATAGCCCATGCTAATTTGAAAATTACGATTGGAGCATTGTTTGACTCTTGTAAGTTCCTTGATGTAACAATGTTATTATATTGAATATATGCTTTTATTTTAGTGTCTTGGCATGTCAATTAAAAAAAACCATGTTATGGTGTGAATATCAAACGTTAGGAGTCCACTTGTTGACAAATGGATGAAAACTTCTTCAATTTTCATTGCCTTCTAATGAACTCTTATCGTTACTTGAACACACTAAGTATTTACTTTCACGAGTGGACCAATTGCCTTTTGTTTCCATGCTTACATCTATTAATATACCTAGCAAGGCATTTGTTTCAAATAAGTTATTAAGACATCTAGAATTTGCTATACAAATAGCAGTTGTTTCTTGTCTTCGGGAAATATTCCTCATTATGGCACTTGATTCCCCCTTTTGTGATGAAATAATGCAAGATATTTTTTCCTTGATTATATCATCATTTGCATATCTCATGAGCACGTCCATCAATTTGTATGCTACGACAGTTATGATACTAGATATCATGGCTAATGCGAAATACTGCCTTATCATGTTGGACCTAGATTGTGAACGTACGATAATTGACATGTTCCAACACTTTCTTGTAGCTCTAAAAGGAAATTATTGAGGGAATGTCTTCACATCCATAGAGACTATCATGACCTTTATATTAGAAGAAAGTGACAATATTCCTCTAGATTTGATTACCCTTCTTTTGGATAGTATTCAAACTAAACACAAAGATGTTTCTCCTATTACATTTAATGTGGTGGAAAGACTTTTTGAGAAGTGTGCTGGCACAATCAAACCTTACTTGTCACGACCTATAAAATCTTTAGGGGTTTGTTTATATGATTATAGTGCAGTTCTTTCCCCCATTTTCATAGAATTTGAAAGTTGTGAACAATGTATCGTGTCCTCTATTTTGACCACACCTGTAGCCGATACACTGAACATTGACATAATTGAGAAAGTACCTAAAGCAATGCCATCGAAGTCAAACATTTCAGATGTCCTAGATCTTGTGCCTACTATGTTGCATGACTTTCATGTTGACTTTATTTGAGTTCTTCCTCAATTACACGAGACTCCACGAGTGGATGTTACCTACTAATTATCGACACGCTGTGCTCGCTCATCGTTATGTTGGCAATATTCCTAAACTTCATGCCAAGTTAAAGGTCAAATCCTTTCCAATCATGAAATTTTTGAATTTACTTTCGATGTGCAATATAATTTAGAGTGCTTTATTGACGAGTATTATATTTTATTGCAAGTCTCTTTGATTCGATTTCCTAAAAATGTGAAGAAAAAGTTTTTGGACCACTCATATAAAGATTTTCCATTTGACTGGCCATCTCACTTAAATGAAAGTTATATTTTCAATGTAGAAGAATTGTTTGTCTCTACAGGTCAACCTTCGGTGCTAAGTTCTTATGCTCCTCATTATACACAATCACATGAAGATTTTGGAGATGAGTTGGATGAGCATTTCCTATTTGAAGATTAGTATCGGTATTTGATTAAAAAGAGAGATCGTCCTCTTTAGGTGAATCATATCCTTGAGGATAAGTTGCAGCTTTCACTATTATTAACAGTTGAATTTCGATATTTGATTCTTCAAAAAGATCGTTTCCCGTGGTATGAGTCAAAAGCTTAGCACTGAATGGAGATATGATATGGAACCTTGTTGGTATCAAGTCGGCTGCAGCCTTTTGTGTTCTGTCCACTCGACAGGGTCAAGTTTTCTCCCACCTCAGGAGAGTTGATGTGGACATCAAGTCTTTTTATTTATTTCTATTTGGACCCTTATTTATATATATGTTATTGGACTTGTACAATGGGTTTGGCCCAAACCCACTCTTTTTAGGATTTTGTTTTGTTAAATCTAGTTTTCATGTAATTGGAACAGATAATTATGATGAATTAACATTGGTTTTGGCGTCTCCTTTCTCTCTCTTCCCCTTTTCTCCTGAATTTCTATTTCTTCTCCCCCATTTCTCTCCGGTTTCTTCCCCCTTCTTGCTGCCCCTTCTTTATCCTGCATCACATACCTAAGGACCTTCAACTTTATCTACTATTTAACCATACATTTCTTGAGATCCATTGTATATAAGCGCTTAAAAGCTTAGCCAAACAAGCACTTAATAGCTAATCGATCAAAGAGTTGTATATGAAATTGAACATCATAAAGTGTATTATAGAAACAGGCAATAAATCATGAATTATAGTCCTAAATCATGACTTGAGCCAGATTATTTTATAATCGATCTTACAGCAGAAATACAATCCAAAAATTGTCTTGTAGC